TCTAACTGTTGCTTCCTGACCTGCACACAAGTTTCTCAAGAGGCAGGTCAGGTGGTCTGGTAGTCCCATCTCCTTCAGAATTTTCCACAGTTTATTGTGATCCACACAGTCGAAGGCTTTGGCGTAGTCAATAAAGCAGAAATAGATGTTTCTCTGGAACTCTCTTGCTTTTTCGATGATCCAGTGGATGTTGGTAATTTTATCTCTGGTTCCTCTGCCTTTTCTAAAACCAGCTTGAACATCTGGAAGTTCATGGTTCACGTATTGCTGAAGCCTGGCTTGGAGAATTTTGAGCATTACTTTACTAGCATGTGAGATGAGTGCAATTGTGCGGTACTTTGAGCATTCTTTAGGATTTCCTTTCTTAGGGATTGGAATGAAAACTGACCTTTTCTAGTCCTGTGGCCACTGCTGAGTTTTCCAAATTTGCTGGCATATTGAGTGCAGCACTTTCACAGCATCATCTTTCAGGATTTGAAATAGCTCAACTGGAATTCCATCACATCCACTAGCTTTGTTCATAGTGATGCTTTCTAAGGCCCACTTGACTTCACATTCCAGGATGTCTGGCTCTAGGTGAGTAATCACACCATTGTGATTATCTGGCTCATGAAGACCTTTTTTGTACAGTTCTTCTGTGTATTCTGGCCACCTCTTCTTAATATCTTCTGCTTCTGTTAGGTCCATAGCACTTCTGTCATTTATCAAGCCCATCTTTGCCTGAAATGTTCCCTTGATTTCTCCGACTTTCTTGAAGAGATCTCTAGTCTTTCCCATTCTGTTGGATGCAATCTCAAAAATGACAGAATGATCTCTGTTCATTTCCAAGGCAAACCATTCAATATCATGGTAATCCAAGCCTATGCCCCAACTAGTGACACTGAACAAGCTGAAGTTGAATGGTTCTATGAAGATCTACAAGACCTTTTAAAACTAACACCCCAAAAAGATGTCCTTTTCATTATAGGGGACTGGAATGCAAAAGTAGGAAGTCAAGAAACACCTGGAGTAACAGGCAAATTTGGCCTTGGAGTACGGAATGAAGCAGGGCAAAGGCTAACAGAGTTTTGCCAAGAGAATGCACTGGTCATAGCAAACACCCTCTTCCAACAACACAAGTGAAGACTCTACACATGGACATCACCAGATGGTCAACACCGAAATCAGATTGATTATATTCTTTGCAGCCAAAGATGGAGAAGCAATATACAGACAGCAAAAACAAGACCAGGAGCTGACTGTGGCTCAGATCATGAATTCCTTATTGCCAAATTCAGACTTAAACTGAAGAAAGTAGGAAAAACCACTAGACCATTCAGGTATGACCTAAATCAAATCCCTTATGACTATACAGTGGAAGTGAGAAATAGATTTAAGGGACTAGATCTGATAGACAGAGAGCCTGATGAACTATGGATGGAGGTTCATGACATTGTACAGGAGACAGGGATCAGGACCATCCCCATGGAAAAGAAATGCAAAAAGGCAAAATGGTTGTCTGAGGAGGCCTTACAAATAGCTGTGAAAAGAAGAGAAGCAAAAAGCAAAGGAGAAAAGGAAAGATATTCCCATTTGAATGCAGAGTTCCAAAGAATAGCCAGGAGACATAAGAAAGCCTTCCTCAGTGATCAATGCAAAGAAATAGAGGAAAACAACAGAATGGGAAAGACTGTTCTCCATAGACACATGCAATCCATGTCATGCACGGTTATCTGAGTGCTGAAATTCTGGCTGCCTCTGTTCATAAGTTTAAAAGTAATATTTTTATATATATTGAATTTTAACATTTCACTCTTAAAAAAATCACCCCAGTGTTCCAGTTTGCTTTAGTCAAGAATTTTTTAATTCCCCTGCCAACTTGCATTTAAATACTTCTTTTCCACATATTTTTGCCTTTTGAAGGAAATTACTAGATTCTTTTTATCATATTTATAGACTCTACCCTGCTCAATGAATGTTAGTAAAGCTAATGAATATGAGCAGAAAATTTTTAAGACAGAAATAACCCAGTAAAGATTGCACCTGCACACTAAGTTCTCTGTCACATAGTCATATGAATGAGCTCAGTAAATTACTAGCCATGGTAGCTTTTATGACAATAGCAAATATCAACTCAGCAAAGTAGAAGAGGAAAAAACTTCTTCTAATTTATTAATAGTCCCTTTAAAATTACCAAATGTTTCCAATTATAAAGTAATGCATTTGGAGATGAACTTCTAGAATGGAGGAGTGCAAACTTCAGTGAACTTGCACTTTCACCAAAAAAGAAAAAGCAAAAAACATAAAGCCAAACAAAGAAATTTACCATTTCAAAATGCAAGCCATTAAACAATACTCAGAACAGAATAAACATCCTTTCAGAAGAAACTGCAAACTTCAGCAGGGAAATAGTCAGTGATGTTTTAAACTTGGAGCTATTCCTCCAGCTCAGTGAAGAGGTTCCACAACCTGTTGCAGACAACAGGTATGACCATTTTTAGAGCTCTATGAAGAGTACCATCCCCAGACCACAATCAGTACTTTGAACTTTCAGGTGACTGAAAAGTCAATATTCTTAGAATATGACGACTGATTTGATTTGATTCAGAATTCAGTTCAGCAAGGGTGGGGACCTACTCACAGGGCATTACTGTAACAGTTATTTCCTGCAACATCTCAACCACCTAAAGCCACGATATAAGTCAGAGCAAACAGGAACCTGGTGGGGAATATGAGGACCATGGGAACTTTGAAAGGCTACAGCATATTCCTAGATACCTAGACTATAGGCATGACCAGGAAGAATCTGCATAATCAGAAGTCACAAGTCACTCACCCCTGGTTGATCTAGAAACTCCACACCACCAGGAAATAATAGCTAATTAGTCAAGAATTATGAAATCCTTTAAGTTTGAACACAGACTTTGGCAAAGGGAAAAGTCAAACAGACAAAGCACTTAGGAATCTGACCAATCATAGTGACTGTCCACTAAACTATATTGACCCCAGTGTTACCCCCAGGAAGTTGATTTTAAAGCTAAAAAAGTAAAGAAACTTAAAAAAATAAAACAAGATAGCAAAGAATTCAGTGGACCCTCATTGCAGGGAATACAGAATCTATAAATTTGTCCAGGAAAGTCACTAAGCAAATAAGCAGCAATAATAAAATATCAGATACCACAGTTTTTACAAAACAAATGTCTAGATTTTAGACACACATGATACATACAAATAAACAGGAAATTATTCCATATACACAACAAAAAGAGAAGTCAACAGAACATGACCTCAAGACTACCTAAATTTTAGACTTAGTGTACAAAGGCTTTAAATAAGCTTTTATACATATATTCAAACACTAAAGAAAACTATTTTAAAGAATTAAAGAAAAGCATGACAATGATGTCTTACCAAGAGATATCACATACAGAATGACAATAAGGAGATCAAAATTATAAAAAGGAATAAAATTCTGGAGCTGAAAAGTGCCCTGCTCAGGCACTTCAGTTGTATGCGGCTCTTTGCAACCCCATGGATTATAGCCCACCAGGCTTCTCTGCCCATAGGATTTTTCAGGCAAGAATACTGGAGTGGGTTGCCATTTCCTTCTCCAGGGGATCTTCCCAACCCAGGAATCAAACATATGTCTCCTGCATTGCAGGCAGATTCTTTACTGCTGAGCCACTGGGGAAGCCCACTGAAAAGTACAATATCAAAACAAAAAATTTACTAGTAGAACTGAATTATCAGAAAGAATAATAATCAGCAAACTTGAAGATAATAATCAGCAAACTTGACGATAGCTCAATTAGGATTATTCAGTCTGAGGAGCAGAAGAGGGGAGAGAGAAAAGAGCAGGAAAATATTTAAAGAAATAATGGTCAAAAATCCCCAAATGTTATCAAAATATTAATCTACATATACAAGAAGTTCAACAAACTACAAGTAAAATAAACTTTAAAAAGATCTATAAACCTATACATGCCACACCAAATTGGAAAAATGTCAAAGACAAAGAGTGAACCTTGAGAGCAGCCAGTGAGTGGGGATTTGCCATGGAGAAGGCATCTCAACAGGATGAACAGCCAATTTCTCATGGAGAAACACGGAGGGCAGAAGGCAGTGAGATGATATCTGCAAAATGTAAGAGAAAGACTGCCAACCTAGAAATCTATCTGCAACTAAAATATCCTTTAAAAACAAAGAATTTAAAACCATTCCAGATGAACAAGAAGTGAGAGAATGTGTTGCTATCACATCTGTAAGGGAGTCCTTCAGTTCAGTTCAGATCAGTTGCTCAGTCATATCCGACTCTTTGCAACACCATGGGCCGCAGCACGCCAGGCCTCCCTGTCCATCTCCAACTCCCAAAGCCTACTCAAACTCTTGTCCATCATGTCGGTGATGCCATCAAACGATCTCATCCTCTGTCGTCCCCTTCTCCTGCCTTCAATCTTTCCCAGCATCAAGGTCTTTTCCAATGAGTCAGTTCTTTGCATCTGGTGGCCAAAGTATTCAGCTTCAGCATCAGTCCTTCCAATGAACACTCAGGACTGATTTTCCTCAGGATTGACTGGTTGGATCCTCTTACAGTCCAAGGGACTCTCAAGAGTCTTCTCCAATACCACAGTGCAAAAGCATCAATTCTTTGGTGCTCAGCTATCTTTATAGTCCAACTCTCATATTCATACATGAGTACTGGAAAAACCATAGCTTTGACTAGATGGAGCTTTGTTGGCAAAGTGATATTTCTGCTTTTTAATATGCTGTTTAGGTTGGCCATAGCTTTTCTTCCAAGGAGTAGTTCAGTTCAGTCACTCAGTCATGTCCAGCTCTTTGCAACCCCATGAATCACAGCACGCCAGGCCTCCTTGTCCATCACCAACTCCCGGAGTTTACTCAAACTCAAGTTCATTGAGTTGGTGATGCCATCCAGCCATCTCATCCTCTGTCATCCCCTTCTCCTCTTGCCCCCAATCCTTCCCAGCATCAGGGTTTTTTCCAATGAGTCAACTTTTTGCATGATGTGGCCAAAGTATTGGAGTTTCAGCTTCAGCATCAGTCCTTCCAATGAACACCCAGGACTGATCTCCTTTAAGATGGACTGGTTAGATCTCCTTGCAGTCCAAGGCACTCTCAAGAGTCTTCTCCAACACCTCAGTTCAAAAGCACCAATTTTTCGGTGCTCAGCTTTCTTCACAGTCCAACTCTCACATGCATACATGACCACTGGAAAAACCATAGCCTTGACTAGATGGACCTTTGTTGGTAAAGTAATGTCTCTGCTTTTTAACATGCTATCTCGGTTGGTCATAACTTTCCTTCCAAGCAGCAAGCATCTTTTAATTTCATGGCTGCAATCACCATCTACAGTGATTTTGGAGCCCAAAAAAATAAAGTCTGACACTGTTTCCACTGTTTCCCCATCTATTTGCCATGAAACAATGGGACCAGATGCCATGATCTTAGTTTTCTGAATGTTGAGCTTTAAGCCAACTTTTTCACTCTCCTCTTTCACTTTCATCAGGATGCTTTTTAGACAAGGATCTTTTAATTTCATGGCTGCAGTCACCATCTGCAGTGATTTTGGAGCCCCAAAAAATAAAGTCTATCACTGTTTCCCCATATATTTGCCATGAAGTGATGGGACAGGGTGCCATGATCTTAGTTTTCTGAATGTTGAGTTTTAAGCCAACTTTTTCACTCTCCTCTTTCACTTTCATCAAGAGATTCTTTAGTTCTTCATTTTCTGCCATAATGATGGTGTCATCTGCATATCTGAGGTTATTGATATTTCTCCCAGCAATCTTGATTCCAGCTTGTGCTTCATCCAGCCTGGCATTTCGCATGAGGTACGCTGCATATAAGTTAAATAAGCAGGGTGACAATACACAGCCTTGATGTACTCCTTTCCCTAAACGGAACCAATCTGTTCCATGTCCAGTTCTCACTGTTGCTTCTTGACCTGCATACAGATTTCTCAGAAGGCAAGTCAGGTGGTCTGGTATCCCCATCTCTTGAAGAATTTTCCACAATTTGTTGTGATCCACACAGTCAAAGGCTCATGCATAGTCGGTAAAACAGAAGTAGGTGTTTTTTCTGGAACTCTCTTGCTTTTTTGATGATCCAACGGATGTTGGCAATTTGATCGCGGTTCCTCTGCCTTTTCTAAAACCAGCTTGAACATCTGGAAGTTCATGGTTCACTACCGTTGAAGCCTGGATTGCAGAATTTTGAGCATTACTTTGCTAGCATGTGAGATGAGTGCGATTGTGCGGTACTTTGAACATTCTTTGGCATTGACTTTCTTTGGGATTGAAGTGAAAACTGACCTTTTCCAGTCCTGTGGCCACTGCTGAGTTTTCCAAATTTGCTGGCATATTGAATGCAGCACTTTCACAGTGTCATCTTTTAGGATTTGAAATAGCTCAACTGGAATTCCGTCACCTCCACCAGCTTTGTTTGTAGTGATGCTTCCTAAGGCCCACCTGACTTAACATTCCAGGATGCCTGGCTCAAGGTAAGTGATCACATCATCTTGATTATCTGGGTCATGAAGATTTTTTTTGTATAGTTCTTCTGTATATCCTTGCCACCTCTTCTTAATATCTTCTGCTTCTTTTAGGTTCATACCGTTTCTGTCTTTTATCATGCCCATCTTTGCATGAAATGTTCCCGTGGTATCTCTAATTTTCTTGCAGAGATCTCTAGTCTTTCCCATTCTATTGTTTTTCTCTATTTCTTTGCATTGGTCACTGAGGAAGGCTTTCTTATCTCTCCATGCTATTCCTTGGCATTCTGCATTCAAATGATGTATCTTTCCTTTTCTCCTTTGGTATTAGCTTCTGTTCTTTTCTCAGCTATTTGTAAGGCCTCCTCAGACAACCATTTTGCCTTTCTACATTTCTTTTTCTTGGGGATGGTCTCGATCCCTGCCTCCTGTACAATGTCACGAACCTGTGTCCATAGTTCTTCAGGCACTCTGTCTATCAGATCGAATCCCTTGAATTTATTTGTCATTTCCACTATATAATTGTAAGGGATTTGATTTAGGTCATAACTGAATGATCTAGTGTTTTCCCTACTTTCTTCAATTTAAGTCTGAATTTGGCAATAGGAGTTCATGATCTGAGCCGCAGTCAGCTCCCAGTCGTGTATTTGCTGACTGTATAGAGCGTCTCCATCTTTAACTGCAAGGAATATAATCAATCTGATTTCGGTATTGACCATCTGATGAGGTCCGTGTGTAGAGTCTTCTCTTATGTTGTTGGAAGAGGGTGTTTGCTATGACCAGTGCATTCTCTTGGCAAAGTTCTGTTAGCCTTTGTTTGCCCTGCTTCATTCTGCACTCCAAGGCCAAATTTGCCTGTTACTCCAGGTATCTCTTGACTTCCTGCTTTTGCATTCCAGTCCCCTATAATGAAAAAGATATCTTTTCTTTGAGTGTTAGTTCTAGAAGGTAATCCTTCAGGCTGAGATAAAAAGGTTCTAAACAGTAACTCAATTATATACAGAGAAATAAAAAGTGCTGGTTAAAAACACTACATAGGTAATACAAAGCACAATACAAAAATGCTTTTGTTAATAACTTTTTTCTGTTTTAAAAATAACTGCATAAAGTCATAATTATATGAACTCTGTTGGTTAAGATGTCTTTCATATGTCAATAATAATACAAAGCAAGAGAGATGAAACAGATATAAATTAGAGCATAACTTTTGTATACTCTTAAAATTAAGTTTCTATTAATTTCAAATACTAATCAAACTAGATTAAAGTTAAGAATTCAACTGTGATCCAAATCAACCACTAGGAAAATAACAAGAAAATAACTCAATATTTTTAGAAAAACAATGGCAAGAAAAATTAAAAAGTGACCTAGAAAATATTTATTTAGCACAAAAGAAGGTAGGATTCAAACAAGCAATAAAGGAAGAAAAAAAGCATAATACATACGAAAAACATGCGGCAAAATTAAATCCTACCTAATCTACAAGGACCTGCTGTGTAGCACATGAAACTCTGCTCAATGTTACATGGTAGCCTGGATAGGAGGGGAGTTTGGGGGCAAATGGACACATGTGTATGTATGGCTGAGTCCCTTCACTGCTCCCTTGAAACTACCACAACATTGTCTATGGCTATATCCCAATACAAAATAAAAAAAAATTTTAATTAAATCCTATCTTCAGTATTATCATTCAGTGTTAATAGATAAAACTCTCTAGTCAAAAGGCAAAGATTGGCAGAATGGATTTTTCAGATGATTCAATTATATGCAGCATAAGAGACACATTTTAGACTCAAAGACATAAAGGGGATGAAAACAAAAGGATAAGGAAATATGTACCCTACAATCAATAATCAAAAAAAAACTAGAGTAGCTATTTGAATAGATTTTAAGATGAAAATTTTCACTGGAAACAAGAAGAGCATTTTTAGTGATAAAAGCATCAATCCATCAGAAGATATAACAATTATAAATACATATACACCTAAAAACAGAGTCTCAAAGTGATGAAGCAAAACCTGTAGAAACGAAGGCAGAAAGAGACAATCCAACAGCAACAGCTGGCAACTTCAACACCCCACTTTCAATCATGAAGAAAACAGCTAGTCAGAATAGCAACAAGAAAATAGAAAACATCATCACTATAGACTTGACAGGCGTATATGGAGCACTCCACCCACCAACAGCAGACCATACATTCTTTTCAAGGACACAGGGAATATTCCCCAAGACAGAGGCCATGAAACAAGCCTCAGTAAATTTAAAAGGAATTAAATTATAACAAGTATGTGCTCCAACCACAGTGAAATTAAATTAGAAATCAGTAAAAGAAGGAAATTTGGAAAATTCACAGATGTGTGGGGATTAAATAACCCATTCCTAAACAACCAATGAATCAAAAAGAAATCACAAAGGAAATTAGAAAAGACTTTGAGATGAATAAAAAATAAAAACAACATACCAAAACTAATGGCAAACAGTGAAGTATTTAGAAGGAAATTTAGTAGAAGGAAAAGAGTATTTAGAAGGAAATTTATATCTGATTTGTTTTTATTTTACATGCATTATATTTTTGCTCTTATTTACTTCTCAGGAAATTCAGAAATTAAAAAACTTTTCAGTATTCTACTAGTGAATAACTTTCATTTTTAAAATATTTGAAAATATATTTATCAGACTCAGTTCTTATTCAGGATGAGAAGCAGAGGAAAATATCCTTACCATTATATTAAAAAATTTTAATTATACATTATTGGAGAAGGAAATGGCAACCCACTCTGGTATTTCTTGCCTGGGAAATCCCATAGACAGAGGCTAGCAGGCTACAGTCCATGGGGTTGCAAGACTCTGACATGACTTAACAACTAAACCACCACCACCAATCATACTTATATGCTTTGGGAATAATATGAGAAATTAGGGATATTTTTTCCAATTCTTTAATTTCAAAATTTTTTAGTATATATATACAGAATTTTAAGCCACCACTAATGTTTCTATATTACACAATTTCTATTTTCAAAACAGTTTTTAAAATTTGTTTTAACTTCAATAACTTCTAATACTTAACCTCAATTATTGTATTTTCTGCAGTGTTGAATTTGCTATGCACTGCTTCACTTATTTTTTTAGGGTCTCAATCCATCTTCCCTTATTTCAGGAGAATCCATCTTACAGCTTATTTTAATTTTTTTCTTGAATCTACTAAGAACTTTAACTTGAAAAACTCTAATATTTCACCCAGCTTTTTTTAAATGAGTTTATTTTTATGGAAACATCTCCTCTATACTAAAGTGTTTTCTCTGTGTTTAACAGAGAAACTGATGACTTTCTCTGTTGGTTCATGCCTAGAAATGTAGTTCCAAGCTTAACATCAAGTAGAAGATGCAGAGTTAGAGAGTGGTGGGAGGCCCTGCCCAAGCCTGATGAACAAGAAGGTGGCACTGGAAGCTTCCTGTTTGATGGGTCTTCTATTCCAGATGGCCTCAGGCCTGATATTTCACTCACCTTATCACCGCACCAACACTGAGAAGTTTTTGGAGAGATGATAGGAACGTTTCCACTGCTCCCATGCAGACTGTTCTGGTGTGGATGGGAAGCTATGCCAGTCTTCAGTCCATGCCACCTGCTGTGTACTCACCTGAAATCACTCAAGTGATCTTGCTCCTGCTGTCCTGCCCTCAGTCATGTCTGGCTCTTTGCGACCCCATGGACTATAACCCCCCAGGCTCCTCTGTCCATGAAATTTTCCAGGCAAGAATACTGGAGTGGGTTTCCATTTCCTCCTCCAGGTGATCTTCCTGACCCAGGGATCGAATCCGGGTCTCTTGTGCCTCTGCATTGGCAAGTGGATTCTTTACC